AACAAAATGTTCATAGCTCTCTGTGTCGTCTGCTAAACAAAATGTTCCTAGCTCTCTGTGTCGTCTGCTAAGATGTGGCGCAGTCGAGAGTTGTACACAGCTCAGGCAGTGGTGAAGTACTCACCTAGCACTGCATGGTCCTGGGTTCAGCCCCAACACTGCAGAAGAAAATACAGGAAGTGGGCCAGAGTTCAGACACAGTGTTGACAAAGTGATTCCGAATGTTCTTCCAGCTAGGAAAGAGACGGCCATCTCACCTCACCTCACCTCACCTCACCTCACCTCACCTCACCTCACCTCCTCACTGTCTCCTCTCCTGCCATAGCTGAGTTTCTGTAAAAGATAAAACCCTGAGTCAGGTGGTGGCTTTGAGACTGGGTCTCTTTATGTGGCCTAGGCTGCCCTCAAACTTGGAATCCCCCTGTCTCAACCTGCAAGTATACACCATCCTACACCACTGTGCCCTGTTTACGGGTTTTTAACAGACGGAAGACAATTTCTGCCGTGACTAACTACTGTCAGCCTTACTCCTTCCGCGTAACTGCTAACAAGGGAAAGAAGAACTAGACTTCCTGTCACAGCTGGCTGTGGGGTGCCACTGTCAGAGGAATGTATGTGGCAGCCCAGTGCTACAGTGAGATGCCCGTTAACATCATTATGATAACCCCAAAATAGTGCACCTTGGCTTTTTTTCTTTTTTTCTTTTTTTTCTTTTTTTTTTTCCTTTTTTTGAGACAGGGCTTCTCTGTGTAGCCCTGACTATCCTGGAACTCACTGATTAAGTATAGACCAGGCTGGCCTCCAAGTCACAGAGATCTGCCTGCCTCTGCCTCCCTAGTCCTAGGACTAAAGGTATGCTTTGCCACATCCAGCCCACACCTTGACTCATTTTTAAAAAGTAGAAATCATTTTCTGGGTATGAGTGTAAACCTGAGTATATGTGTGTGTGCCACGGGTGTGCAAATGCTACAGAGCCACTCATTGTGGCTGCCGAGAGCTCAACCCTGATCCTCTGTAAAAGCAACATGTGCCCTAACCACTGAGCCGTCTTTCCATCCCCTGTTGAGCTCCCCACACACACACACACACATTTGGAAGTTTTTTGGCTGCTGATGCTCTTCAGATATAATGATGATGTATATGTTTCCCACACTTCACCCTGGAGCATGTACTGTTGTCTTCATTTTACAGATGAAGAGACTCGGTATACAAAATGTTACAGAACTTACCCCTAGCCCCACTGTGAAGGGGTAGTCATTTTCTGATAAGAGCCTAAACTGAGCAGCCTCTGGGCTCCCGCGCCTTGCTGCCCAGGTCTCCTTGTCTGTAGTGTCGGTGGAACTCACTCACTGCCTCTCTTTCCCTAAGGCTGAGCTGAGGCAGGGCTCCAACAGCAGCCCAAGCAGCCCTGCAATCTTAATGCTGCACACTGCGTTTTCCACTTTATCTAGCAAGCCACCAAGGAAAATATCCCACAGATGGTGTGCTGGGGTAGGGCTGTGGGGGAACAAGGGGCCATTACAGCCTAAGCACAGTAAATGGTTCCCAAGTCATCCTGGAAGAGTGCAGACAATTCCCTAAGCCTCAAGAGTTAGCACTGCACCCTGGAGATGGCTCTGTGGGTAAAAGCACTTGTCACCAAGACAGGCAACCTGAATTCAATCTCTCCAAGCCACAAGGAGGAGAAAAGCAATCCCTAAGCTGTTCTCTGACACTCTCACACTCTCATACACACACACACACACACACACGGGAGAGAGAGAGGATGGATGATGGATAGGATGGATGGATGGATGGATGGATGGATGGATGGATGGATGGATGGATGATAACAGGCATTGCTAGTCAGTTGGCATAGGACTGGAACATGAAATGCATTAGTGTATTTATTTTTCTGATAAACAGCAGGTAGCTGGAGCCATAGGAAACCAGTAAGCCAGTGGGAAGGGGTCACCCAGCTGAGGCAGGACCACCTATCTGCTGAGTTGCTGGTGCTCAGTGGGTGGACTCCCACCAGCCCTTGGTGCTGCCAACACTGTGCCCTAGCAGACTGAGGCATGGGACCCCAGGGCACTTGAGGAGCTGTACACTGTTGTCAGAAAGAAAATCTAAGAACTATGTGTGGCAGATTGTTCTTTTCCAGTTTACCACACCTCAGAATAAAGCCAGGGAGGCTGCTTTCCTGAAGAATTATGTTGTACAGTGTGATTTCCCATTAAATAGTGTTCATTCTCACACAGACTTTTTGGCAGTTTGATAAGAAACATCTTGTACATAAAATAAGTGACATTGATTTCTTACTTTTGCCCATATAAGACTTGAGTAAAGGGCCTTCCTTGGCTAGCTAGCCACTGAGCTGCTGTCCTCCTGTCTCATGCACACACACACTCACACACACGGCTCAGAAACCTTTGTCTTGCTTTACTTTGTCTTTCCTCCTCAGCCCTAATCTCTACTTCAGAGTCTGGTTCATTCATTGTTTACCTTATTTATTGTACGTTCTCCAGCCTAAACCGTTGACTTACGTAACAGCAGTCACGAGTCTGTAGTGATAGCCACTGCAGATAGTTGTAGTACATGAAGAGTTATGGCAAAGACACAGAACGAGAATATAAAATATATTTGGGTTGCTGTGTTTGTTTCTTCCCCACACAGTCTTGCTGTTGGTATCCTAGGCCAGGAATACTCTTTGTAGCTGTTAATGTCTTCAGTCTGCAGCTGTGCCGGCTAAGTGAGGGAGACAGGGTTTTTAAATTAATATATTTCATAACACACTCGATTCCTTATGCTAATTCAGAACCTGTGTGTTGTACCCTCCCCTAGGCCAGATTCACAGGTTCTGCTGTTTACACCCCATCTCTCTGGTCTGCTTTGATGGATTCACTTGAATTTTTTTTTAGCATGAGCATCTGTATTGAGCAGACTGTCTAGTAATTATATTTAAAATATTTACTAGCTAGCTATTCATCAATAAAATAAGTTTAGATTCTAACTAGGCAAGATGATTAATAATTATTATTAAGTAATTTCCAAAGAGCCTCTGCTCCGTAAAGTAGGTTAATAAGAAGCAAGCGAGACTACGGAGGCGCAGTTATTAATGACTCATTATCTGCACTGTCCGGCTGCAGCGTTTGCTCATGGTCTAAGATGGACGACGGGCATTTTTCCTCATAACCAAGAACAGAGAAATGCTATCAGGATTTATCCAGAATGCTGGACATTATTAATTCGGGATGTTTTACTAATGCTATACTACATAATGACAGTTTAACTTAAAAATCTGCCTCTTGCCCATTATTGTCAATGGATTTTATTCTGACAAATGACTATTTATTTTGTATTCTTATCTCCATATCTATCCTAATTAAAATTGTTAGTCCCGTGAGCTAATGGCCTGGAGCAGCCTTGGCTGGGGAGGCAATGGTAATGAGACATTCATAAAACCTCGTGACAAAGCGTCTTCCTTGCTATCCACTGTGAAGCTTGGAAAGCCACCCGAGACACCCTGTGGTGTGCTCAGTACTGAGGGCTTTAACGTTCCTGTAACTCAGTGACAGGCAGGCAGAGTTCAGCGCAGCCTGGTTTGGGCTCCTTTAGATTTTAGGCAATGAATAAGGAAGTTAAATTGTGTTTTCAGTAGCTGGATTTGGCTGAGTAAGTATTAAATCATCTCATGGTTTTGCATATTTCTTACAAATACATACACTTGCTGTACAACTACAATAATGTTGATGATTTTAAAAATCCTTCCAAATACGCAGCATGTGAGGTCATGTCTGAGCAGCTGTGTGTGAGAACAGCATGTCGTTTCCATGGCCCCGGCTCTCCAGAAAGTAGATGTGTCACGTCATTGTATCAGCCACCACCCAAGGAGTTCAGTTGGGATGAATGAGACAGGATTCTTCTGGAAGGCCGCCTGACTCATAACAGTGTCACATGGGACTTCAGTGTCATGCCCTCTCTCTCTTCTGGTACCTTGGGGCAGACTGAAAGTTACCCCTCTCCACAGATAACTCTTCTGGTTACTGTCCCCTCGTCCTCAGGGCCGCCCCTGTCCTCTTTGTCTTCCACTAGTAGCTGGGAAGGTCCCGTGGGAGCTTAGTTCTCGGCAGTTACTCTGTTTCAGGGCCCTCGCTTGTGGCCTGTACGCCCTGCTTGTCTTAGGAGCTGGACTGGAATCCAGTGTTGATACCTGTCTGCACGCCTATCAGCACGCCTCACCTCTTACCTTAAACGTGCAGCTCACAGTCCTGAGGATGCTCAGGCTGCATGGCTGGCTCCTTCTTTGTTTCTCAAACAAGTTTTTTAAGGTGCAGGATGAGGATGGGCACACATCCTGGGACCCCAGCATTTGGGAGTCTGGGGCAAGGTTGAGAT